TCAATTGGTAATTACTTACAAAACTTTTGTCTTGTTTTCCGCACAACCTCCCTCATTATTATTATCGTGCTTTCTACTTTTTACAGCTCATTGGGTTGTCTGGAAGAAATCGCTGATTAGCGATAAGACCGCCCTTTGTGCAACTGTGATTGTTTTGCCTTGTATTTGTATTTTATTCGTGTTATTTATGTTACTGTTGTGCAATAAAATATTATTATCTTATCTTAGGGGCCGTTCATAAAATACGTCACGCTAAAATCAGCTTTTTCCGACCCCCTCCCCCCTATTGTCACGCTGTGTCACACTTTCTGTGACCCCTCTGAAATATTCCGTCACAAAAACGGAGACCCCCCCCCCCCTCCCCAAGTATGATTAATTTCAATTGATAGTACACAAATTTTAAGAATTTAAATATTTATTTAGTTTTTATAATAAAATTTAAATATATAAATGCGCTAATAATGAATGACGAACGTCACGTTGCCGTAGACCCCCGTCCCCCCTTGTCACATCTTGTCACACTTAGCAAGACCCCCCCCCCCCCCCCCCCCCCCCCCCTTGTATGCGAACGTATTTTATGAACGGCCCCTTATCTTATCTTTAAATACGCTTATCATTATCACAGATAGATTTAAGCAGTTGGTTTCTACCGATCATCTCCTTCATGGGCATGACGCCGCCGTACTCCTGAGGCAGCAGCTTCTTGTCGATCTCTACGTCGTCCGGCGAGCTGTACAGCCGCACGCGCTTGCGGATCTTCTCCGAGATCAACGCCATGCCGAAGTCGAGTGCAAACTTCACCGTCGGGTGTACGTTCACTCCGTAGATCTCCTTGTGCCGCAACGGCAGGGTACGCTGAACACAAACTATGAGTTAATTATCATTATTAAATACAAAATTCATAGATCTCGTCTCTGCATGACTTGAAATGGCATTGAAAATGAATCTACCTATTATAGATTATTAAAAAAAAAGTAAATTAACAAATTAATGAAAATAATATACATATATAAATATATATTTATTCATTTCATATACATTTATTATAACTAAGCATAAATATATCATTAGGAACGTTGATAAATTATGTAATTTTTATTATCAGACTATTATCATTTTTTTTAAATATTAATTAAATCAACATTGTCTGCATTATTAATTACAGTAACAAGTGGTTTATGGTAACTAAAATAAGACACATGGACGTTCGTAGATACGTGGTTCACGAATCTTGAAAATACCACATCAATGGTTGTACCATACCTCGTTGTACCCATTGCTCTATCAGAAACAATATGTAAATTCAGTTCAGATTTTAAAAAAAAATATTAAAGGAGATTGCTCAAATTGGCCCAAATGCACAAAAAATATTGACATATACGGTAATTCTTAGCGTAATTTATACTCTATTTTACAGTCATTAGATTTTAACGGACACCTTTGTATAATATATTAATTTTAAAAAGAACTTTAATTTTACCGGTTTGAAAAATATACGAATCTTTTTTAATGGCTATGGGTGTAGTAAAATTCAGCCAAAGACTGATCGAAGTTGTTTATATAACATAAAATCAAATCTATTTTGTAAAGATCGATAAAATAAATATTTTTTTTTAATTACACTGTGGTATTAATATCCACAACTATATCATCATTTTTACTACATGCAAATGTGTTAAGACAATTATTATAGATTTTAGGCGACATTATAAAGTCTATTGCCATAAATTTTTCGCCAAACACCTGCATAAACACTTTATAAAGTGTGATACACTAAAAATCTAAAATATGGTTATAATACAAACATAACAAAAATAATGAAGCTACTGAAGATATGGCTGTATAACCTAAATCTCTTAGCTTTCTTTGGTTAACGACAAAAAATTCTCTCTAATCTGTGGCTCATTCACAATCATCAATCATCAGTGCTTACACTGATGGTAGTACCTTGGGTACTACCATAATAAAACCAAAAATGCATAGATGATACCTGATTTTAAAAGTTACTCTTGTGCATTAACTTTAAAAACAGGCAACTATCTGTTAATCTACATGCTCTATATACTTGAATCTAATACATAATTTCGGTACGTGGCTAGATTTCCCTAGTTTACTATATAACTTATTTGTTTTTTATTATTTTAAAACCTACGTGCCTATTTGCAAACATAACCTCAAAATCGTTCAGTGTATATGGTTTATAGAAGTTCTCAGGGGTGTCCGTCAATAATATTCGTTTCTACAGTAATTTATATATAATTTCGAATCTAGGAAACAATTTTTCATGATTATTGGTCTTTAGGCCAAACCTGTATGGAAGCTGAGCAATCTCCTTTGATCGTGAACAGGGCGTTTAAAGTGGTATATAGACTTAAGTTGTACCTCTCCGTTTTTGACGATCCGCACTGCCTCCTTGGGTGTGAAGAGCGTGAGGTGTGGGAAGCTGACGCCGCTGCCGTCCGCGAAGTGCACCAGACCTCGGACCTGGGTGTCCTCGTCCTCCAGCAGCGTCTCGTAGCAGATGCCCATCACGCGGCACATGTCCTGGTTCGTGTACTTGTATGGGTCGAACACGCCTGCAACGCACAGCATCATCATCAGCCTATTAATGTCCCTACTGCTGGGGCTATAGGGAAGCTTTGCAGTGACCCACGCGGGTCCAGTGCGGATTGGCGGGTGCTAACGACTGCAGACGGTTTAACGTGCCTTCCGAAGCACGAAGCAGCCAAAGATAGATTTTTGGTCATCCATCCACTGACCGACCACTGCGAAAGTTGCTTAACTTCAACAATTGCAGCCTAACGCGCTAACCACTAGCTCCTAAGATTGGCAGCGGAGAAGTTTGGCCGTCTGATAGTCTGCTATAATAGCCAATAAGCAAGCCCGTGCCCTAACCCCGTGAGATTCGGATAGGGACACGAAAAAAGTATCGATACTTTGTGGTATCGAGTACTTTTCCTTTCGATACCGAAACATTTGTACTCGATACTTGGTTTTCGATACTTCAACTAAATGAGTACTTTTTGGCAAGTATCGATACCATTAAAAATTTGGATAAGAGCCTTATATTGATGGCAACGCCATCTAGTGGAATCATAGCAAACCTTCTAAAACATTCCATTGCGTTGATATAATTGGAAGCACAGGCAATATAGTGTGTCCTGAGACTTACGTACTTGAATTACGCACGGTTAGTTTTGTAGTTGATTATATTAACATTACACATTTTTAAGAGTATCTACATAATATAGAAATTTGTGAATTAACATGTCCTTTTTATGTTTTTAATTATACGTACTATAATAAAATTTGATCGTTTTTCTTTTAATTTTAACCCGGGGGTGGGGGGGGGGGGTTGCTCATAAGGCCCTATGAAATGTACTCGATACTTCGAAGTATCGATACTTTTGTTTCAATACTTTTACGAGTACGATACTTTTTTTCCGATACTACTCATGAGTACAGTATCGATACTTTCTTTTCGATATCGTGTCCCTAGATTCGGGTTACTTCTTGATGATAATCGGTCATCATGGTTTATTAGCGTTGGCTACTCTAAACCCATCTCTTTAATCCGGGAAATAGAGATTTGGTAACCTTACTAACTATATACTATACGGAAAGTGTTATTTGATGACAATAGTTAAAAGTTAGTGATTGTGAATAAAATTATATTCCTAATCAGCCTAATGAGGGCTACCGTTTTCTGTCTCACTAGATGCCGCCACTGTTGAGTGAGGTCCTAAATTGTAACTTTTAAAGTTTATTAATACGCACATGAAATCAAAGGTTACATTTAGATCGTATTTTAACACAAAAGAACCATATCCTAAACATAATAGGCCATGCCACAGTGACGCGCAGTTCCGTTTTATTCGGAAAAATTGGGAACATAATCATTTTTCTAAGCTCAAATTTTTAATAACTGACATTCATTGCCACATAACTCATATTTGCCATAATTAAGCCGAATTGTAACCAATTATTCACAACATTATTTTAATAAGAAATAAACCCGCGTAGTCAACCAACAAGCAATAACATTTGACATTTCGGAGACCTCACGCTACACTAGCGCCTCTAGCGGCGGATTCATACGCGATAGCCCTCATTATGTATCCTCCTTAAGGGGTGCACGGGCCTTTCTTGTTGACAAATCGTGTTAACGATTGCATATAGAACTGGATCCACCGGTTCAACTCACCTTTCTAAGCACGGAGAAGTTTGGAGTAGACAAGTTCATTAGGTTTTATTAACGCAAAACGAATATAATAATACTAGCAAACCAGTGAACCAAATGTTCACCAAAACCTGATTTAAAAAAAAAGAAAGATATTTAATTAATTGAGAACTTCGGAGATTTTGTGTGGTTTCGTTTGAAATTCGTGATTTCTCGAAAACCGGAAGTGCTACGTTACTCAAATCCGGTTTGTAGTCTTATCAGACTATTCTTAACTTATAACTTAAATATTCTCTTTATCTATCTTTTACGGTTTGGCCGCTGAAACAGCACCACAGACAGACAGACGGACGGACTTGTCTAATAGATAAGAGATAAGCCAAATCTTGTGGAGTGTTCTAAAAAGTATGACCAATTAAATCTTATTGCCAAAGGACAATGATACTTTTTCTCCGCTGGCAAAGAGGTGTTAAAGTACCAGAGTCCTGTAGCCATACCATCAAAAGCTGTCGCCAACGTCACCTGGATATCTGGGTGTAGAAGCGCATCGACAGTGAATATAAGATAATGTAATGAACAAATTATGTATAATCTTATGTATAAATGGATTATATTTTTTTTTCAAGACGTAGTATTGATTTAATAAAGTACTCTTTATGATTAATACACGATAAGAAATACATAAACAGAATTAGGTTGGTAAGTAAGTAATTATAATGTATCCGCAACCTTTTTCACCTTTATTTCCACCTTATAATAATAATGTCTTCTAAGATTTCCACAATGAACAATTCACAGTAGGGTATTTGACAAGTTTTAGAAAACGATCTCGCGTTATTGACTAATGTTTATGGAGTCCGTAAAAAGTGAATATTCATCATTATTTTGTGTATTTCGGTACAAAAAACCAAATCAAAAACTCTATTTTCAAGTTGCCGCGAAAACGTTTCTCTGGACAATATGGCGTCTTCCTAGTGCGTGTCGTCACACGACTGTTATTAAAACGTCAAACGATACAATGTAATGTCACTTTAACCGGAAGTTTACTTGCGTGTGACGTCATTTTAGGCTCCGCGAATCCCAAGCGTTTTGGGTCACGTGACAATAGATAAGAAAACTTATCTTTTTCGTGGGTTTTTAGTAAAATTATGAATATTTTTTTTGTAAAAATAGTAAAAACCCCTGCCAATATTCATTCTAAACACAGATGCTAACAATTGGCACTTATTTTTAATACTGTCAAATACCCTATTTATTTGCACAACAAAGGAAAACCTTATTACAAAAAGTTTGTTGTTTTAGTAAGAGTGTTTTATTAAGTTATACAAATAACAGATGATAATAATTAAAGTAATATATAGATAAATAAACCTTAAAAAATATGATTGTTGATAAATAAATGCCGATTATGATTTGATTAATATTAAAAGGGTTTCAGCAGTAGTTCGATTGTGTGAAGTTGAACAAGCGAGGCACCATTTGTCAAAATTTCCGCCTTTTTTACATTTATTTATTTATTTATTAAGAACAACAACGACCATTCTAGAATAAACAATTACACAGGTTTATACTGATACATGTATAAGTATAGTTATATAGAAATATTACACATCCATGACTGGAGTACAAATGTTCGTATTCATCACACAAGCATCTGCCCCCACCGGGATTCGAACCGGGCTCTCTCGCGTAGGCGACACCTACCATCATACCACCTACCATCTTCTATCGCATTTATCACGGGGAGTGTTCTGAGGAATTGTTCGGATTAATTCCAGCTGCTGCATTTCGCCATCGTACATCGCGACAAAAATTTCATCCCCATCATCTTGATGCGTGGCTATCCACAACCGTGCGTTTTTGTCGAAATTTTTTACCACGTACGACAAAACTGTGGAATATATTGTCGCCAGCAGTGTTTCCGGACCAATACGACCCAAGAACCTTCAAAAAAAGAGCGTACTCCTTCCTTAAAGGCCGGCATCGCATTTGTGATACTCCTGGTGTTGCAAGTGTCCATGGGCGACGGTGATCACTTACCATCAGGTGAGCTGTCTGCTCGGTCACGGAGTTTGTTTTTGAAATAACCATGAAAAGAATCGTTACCACGTCGTTTACATTATTCAATACGACTTCTTCTCTTAATATAACGATACACGACAAACGTGCACGTTTATAAAAATCAGGGCCTTCGCCTAACGGGATTGGTATGGCTAACGCTATTGCTTACGATTTCATTCTGTTATTTCTGAACGGCTAAGGTTTTCAAATGCTTCGTGCTCTTTTTGAAGTTATACTTCTTTAGGCGCGTTATGAAAAAATGATGAGAGTGAAATTTTAAGATGCGCGCGCATCACTGTAACACAATAATTAACAGCATGAAGTTGGGACCAAGTTCATGCTGTTACTTTTGTGTTTACCGCACATTAAGAAAATCTACCAACAAAATAGAAATAGAATCTCTATTTTGTGGGTGCTAACGACTGCATTGTGAAGGCCTATCAAAAGTATTTATTAATCTGGAACAACGGAACCAAAGCGCGATTCAGGAGACTACAGCGCCATCTCTTGACCATTGGTGTAGTAGAACCAAAAACCACATCTTTATTTTTTGTAATAAAGTAACAGTTATAGGTATTCATATTTATAATATTTATTCACATGTTTCTAGTTTGTATATTCGGAATACGTGTTTGAGTTTCATACAAGTGCAAATCACATATGTTCTAAATAATTATATTCAGTAGCGATTTTAATTGATTATTTTGATTATTTATTTATTTTTCAAATTAAAACTGAACTTTATTTACTGTGTCCTTTTCCAGACTTTTTATTAATTTATTGTAATTAATTATTTGCATGCAATTAAAAACTAATTTTAAACGATGCCAAAGAAGGATAACATCACACGCGCCTACATAAGTACACGCACCTATTTTTTTTTCATTTGCACTTGTAATAACAATATTTAAATAAAATAGCGTAAGGTATTTGGAAACCTTAGGCGGTCGGTAGAAAGAACAAAATGAAAGCTTCAGCGATAGTGATTGCTATAACAATTCCGTTAGGCAATCGGCTCCCAGATTATGTTGCAGCTTGGATTTTAGCTACGCCTATTTCATAACGAGGTGAAAAATTGACAGACAGACAACCGAACTACTGCTACGGACCATAAAGTCTTACATACACTTTAATTTTACGGACTTCTACCAAACGTCTTTTTACCAAACTTGTTAAACAAAGTACCTAGATTGGTACCTGAAATTTCGCAATTGCGAGGAATAAATTTCCATCATTTGACGAGGAACATTTTAGAGATAATTTGATTCGCCCTTGAACAAAATGCTTTTATATACGAGTAAATACATACATACCTGGCTTACTACATATTAAGATATATTTAAGTTTAATGTCTATACAATATATTTAATTTACAACAATATGGTGCAAGATGAATAAATTTAAGAATAATTAAAACAAAAAATATACTATAGCAATGAACCTAAAACTAAAAACCTTAAAAAATAAAATATAATCACTAAAATACATTATTAAAAGGAGTCCCTTTAGGCAAGGTTCCGAAGATACTGGCAGCATTCCCCCTTTGGATAGCTAGACTAATTCTTTGTCCGAGGTAGCTGCCAGCTCTTCGGTCTCCTGTGATGTCGACTAATCTTTTCGCTATTTCTTTAAAAAGCCTTATAGCGCTAGGACCCCACGGACCAAGGGTCTCGACACCGAATGGGACAAAATCATATTCGGAGCCTAGACCTTGCCTAAAGGGACTCCTTTTAATAATGTATTTTAGTTATTATATTTTATTTTTTAAGGTTTTTAGTTTTAGATATATTAAATGAGTACACACAATAGATACGGATAATGATTATAAGCATGATGGCTGTATCCGGATGTGATTATTGATATATCTACCGGGTCTGTACACCACCACACGGCGGCCGGCCTTGTCCTTGAACGGGCTCACAAAGATGTACCTGTAACATTGAACAGATTTCATTTTCAGACAATCTTCACGATCACCCTGTCGTGTAGCGACAAAATAAAAAGAAAGAAAACAGAATAAAGAGAAATGCCGATAAGTGTCCAGCACTCTGGAATAGTGATTTTCAGTACAGAAGAAATTATTATACGTATTTACAAAATGATGAATAGTGTGTGATATTTTTGAAATTATGTGTTTCCAGGAAATAAATAAAATATATGATAATAAAATATATGATGATGCCTGATGAATATCGATGTTGTTATATGATAAAATGTGCGAAATGGAACCTATGATAATCGAAACCATGGGTCGAAACCATATTAAGGTACGTTACAACCCATCACCACGTACCATTGGAATGGTATCCCACTTTAAGTTACTCATAGACGGAAGCGGCCTGGCTGCGGCCGAGGTGGCGGCCAGTTGTATTCTCTTGCAATGTAATCATCATCAGCCTATTAATGTCCCCACTGCTGGGGCACAGGCCTTCCCTATGGATGGAATAGGGAGATTGGCCATGACCCACCACGCGGGCGCAGTGTTGATTGGTGGATGCTGACGACTGCAGATGCAGCTGGGACCAACGGCTCAACGTGCCTTCGAAGCACGGAGGAGCTCGATATAGTAAATTTTTGGTCACCCATCCAATGACTACTTTCGCTGCTTAACTTCAACGATCGCTATCGAGCTCCTCGTCTCCTCCTACAATGCGAGTGTTCAAACACGGGTAACCAATAAGGGCTAGCCGCCTCTGTCTTTGAGACCCTTTACTCGAGTCAGCACTTATTTTTATACTTTTTATTGCGCAAGAGTCTAGACGCTAATAGACGATTCGATCGACAGAAAACCGCTCCAGCCATACTCTCCGCCAAGGCCTAAACACAGTCTTATTATCTTAAGTTTAAAGAATTTAGAATAATGACGGTCGCATTACAATACATATACGAAAATTTATTACTTGTAAGAAAAAATATTAGTTTGTTTCTTAAAAACAGTAATGTGTAAACACTTAATACAAGAAACAAAAATAAACTAACTAATTCATGATAGGTGAGAGCTATCACGTCGATAATTTTGATTGAAGTGCAAATCTATGGCATGATACTGTTTGGCGAGAGCAACTGCGGTACTGACCCCAGGTCGATGAGCTCCATCATGACAGGCAACTGGTAGTCGAGCTGGTTGAAGGCGATGCCCCAGGACTGGCGCAGCAGGATGTACCTCTCGATGGCCTCCTGCGCCATCGGCACGCTGAACTTCTTCGCGCGCAGGAAGCGGAGCAGGAAGTTCGAGTCTGCGGATGGACCATGGGCGATGTTTTAAAGTACTGCCCTTTTAAAAATTCACTGTATCTACAGAATAACTATATTAAAATGTATGACTGTTTGCCACAAATAAAGAGAGAAAAAGATAATGTTATACGTGCAGATATTGTCGAACCTTTGAGAGACATTCTCGAACATTGAGAGATATTCTATACTTTTACGAATTGTATTTAGGGTCGTGTCAATGATTTTATTTATTTATTTATACTCTTTATTGCATCATATAGTTTAAAACATAAAGTCAAATACATAGTAAGCAAAGGTGGGCTTATCTCTAAAAGAGATCTCTTCCAGCCAATCTAGGTGGTGTCGGAGATTCAAAACTTAGCAGGAAACAGACAGTGCAATAAAAATTAAATTAAAAATAATTTATTACTACGTTATAGGAAATAGACTTAATAAATAATAGTTGTATAAATACAAAACATATCTAAATATACATAACATACATTTAAGCCTGATAAATAAATACTAATAAGAAACAAGATATTTCGTGAGAATGATCCATTAAGTTCGAGATTTCTGTTTGAGAAAATGCTCTTTAACTTTAGACTTAAACGAGAAGATGGTCGGAGATTCCTGAATATTGGACGGAAGTTTATTCGACAGCTGTGCAGCCCTAAAAGAAAAGGAATTCCAATAGGAGATGTTATTACTTTTAGGAAGCTCAAGGGTCTTAGTAATGCAAGGTCGTCTAAACGGTCGGTCGAACGCAGGTTGCGTTCCCGATTTAAGTTTCTTCCCCCTCCTACTGGGGAGTTAGGATCTTTGAGAATCTTGAATAAGAAGACAAGCATATGCAAATCTCGGCGAAGACGAATAGGACGCCATTGAAGTAGAGAGCGATAAGCTGACACATGATCATACTTCCGCAGACCAAATATATTAGAACGAATCCAAAAATTTAGCCATACGATTTAGTATGGCTAAATTTTGGAGTCGTTCTAATTTATTCAGTAGCTCTTCATTTGCATCAGGATAATAGACATCGGCGTAGTCGAGAATGGAAGAAAGAGTGATTGTGCTAACATAATTTTGGTTTTAAATAGTAAAAAATATTGGAGTCACTCGAGAGAGTGGAAAGAGTAATGGATACGCTTACTAACTTTACCAATATGCGGGGACCATGACATGTTACATGTTACAGTCCATAGTCAAACCAAGGTTTTTAACTTTGTCAGTGTATGGTATTGGAATATTGTTGTAGAGGAGTGGAGGAACAATACTACAATCCAGTCTACTCCTGAGCCGGCTGCTACTTACAATCATAGCCTGACATTTGCTTGGATTTATTGCCAGACCAAACGAAGTTGCCCAGCTTAAAATGGAGACCAGATCACGATTTAACAAGGCAATAGCATCGCAAACTTCACCTGTTGGAAAGTGTCGGTAGATCTGAAGATCATCAGCATACAAGTGAAAAGGAGAAGAGATAATAGAAGCGATCTTATTAATGAAGAAGGAGAAGAGTAAAGGAGAGAGAACTCCACCTTGCGGTATACCTGCCAATATACGTACCCAGTCAGAGCACGAGTCATTATAGACCACTCGTTGGAAACGGTCCAAAAGGTAACTCCGAAACCATTCTATAACTGGAGGAGAAACATTTTAGGAGACTGAAGAGTGCCCAAAAGAAGGTCAAAGTCGACACAGTTGAAAGCACTGCTGAAGTCAAGCAGAATTATAGCCGTAAGCTTGGTATTATCCATTGCATAAAATTTTCTCTATCATATTCCCCGATCGACCGTCATCTAACGTTAAGTTTATTTATTTATTTATTCAGTTTCACATGCTGGTTTACAGAGCTAGTCCAACACACCAACAAGTCAATGCAATGCAAAACAAAAACATTCATTATATAGAAATAGTCATAAGTGGAATTACAATTAAAAAGTCAAAATTAAAAATAAACATACATCAAAGTCAACGAAGTTACAGAGTCAAAAATGTCAAAAGATATAATTAAAAACGTGGAAACAATAAATAAATTACAAATTAAATTAAACTAGGAAATACACTGTCAAATGTCAAATTACAGATTAAAACCCAGAATCTAAAATCTGGCGAGTCATGGTAATTAATCTCCCTAGACCGTCAGCAAACAGGTCTAAGTGATCGTATTGAGCGAGCATGTCCCCGATCAGGCGCAATGCACGTACTGTGGGCGCTTGGGCAGCGTGGACGGTTCGGGTGCCAGGCCACTCCAGCAAGCGCGGCCGCCGGCGCGGCTCCAATAAACCCTCGGCATCACGCGGGATGCGAGTGGGTACCAAAAGGCGTACTCTTTCTAGCACGTGTGGCGAATCAATCTTTTGGTAAATAATTGATAAATAGTGTACAATGAGGAGCAATTTCCTTCTCATATCCAGTGCTTCTAGGTCGACCATACCGTAGACAAAAGTTGATGGATACAAGAACGGATAATATCCATAGTTTTTCTTGTAAAACCATCGAGCAAATTTTCGTTGTATCTTTTCTATCATGAGGCAATATTTTTTTTCGTGGGTGTCCCAAATTACTGCCCCATATTCCAATTTACTACGTACGTAGGCATTGTACAATACTCTAGCCACTAAAGAACTACTAAATTCGGAGGAAGTTCTGATAATGAATCCCAGGATCCTACTCGCCGATTTGCATACGTTTATCACGTGTTGGTGAAAGTCCATCTTAGTATCTAAAGTTAAGCCTAAGTCTCTAATTTTGTCAATTCTTTCCAAAGGAGCGTCATATATTTTATAAATACTTTCAATACAGGACCGCTTCCGCGTAAAAGTTATTGTCTTGCATTTGTTGCTATTGAATGTCAACCGATTCGAATCACTCCAAGCTACTACAGCGTCAATATCTCTCTGCATGGCATCCGAATCCCCTTTATTACTTATACACCTATATATTTTTAAATCGTCAGCAAATAACAAACATTTTGTGCATGACAATACTTTAGGCAAGTCATTTATCATGATTTGAAAGTTCACTTATTTGTTTCTTAGATTTTCACGCACATCATTCATTAAATAAAACAAGTTTCAACTGGTTAGATGCACTGATTTTATTTAATTATTGACGTATCGCATCCTTTGCAGTCATCAAAATAATGTTTTTTTTTATTTACTTTGTCGAGCTGCCTTCAAAATATTTTATTGACCGTTCGGATATTTCTTTGGAAGAGTTTTAAAACTTTATTGTCTATGCTTGAATTTATTAGCTAATTTAATTAATTAAGTATTTTATTTAATTACTTTTTTATAATTTTGAGTTAACTTAACTCCTTAATTTACCTTAGGGGTTATCCATAAGGTACGCAAAATACTTACATCTTATATATAAAATTAGTTAGTTACCATACTCCTCGGAACCTGACCTAACCGGCCTGACCGATTTTTATGAAATTTCATATGCATATTCCGTGGGTCTGAGAATCGGTTACTATCTATTTTTCATATTCTTAAGTGATAACGGTTCTCCACCTGTAACGTAGTGTTCTGAAACCTCCAACGCGCCTTCGCGCCAAAATTCAAACTATTGGGTATTGTGACGTAGTGTTCTCATATGGGTTAGGAGGAATGTTATCCCAGGAAATTGATAGAACACTACGTTACACATCCCTGAAAATTTTTTCGACAATATTTTTTTTTTTATAATGTGGTATTAAATAATATATAATAATTACATACAACTCTAAATTTTCTTTTCTACCACCTGCCTCTAATTTTATGGCGGTACGAAGTTCGCTGGGTCAGCTAGTAATAAATAAAATTATTATGGCTAAACCCAGACCAAGATCGTAAGGCATAGGCGAAGATCCATAACAGGAGGTTAGTAAATATTTGAGGAAACATTCTCACCTGTTCTGATGGCCATGAACTTGGGGTTTTGTTCCATCCAGCTGCGCAGTGCCGCCAGTGCCTGTTTGCGCGCGTTCTGCGTTTCCCGCAGCTCCGCCTCCGCTACCGCTTGTGTGTCCGCCTGCAGCGGGCACCCATCCCCGTCCGACGGGGTCAAGTACCGTTTCTGCAGTCGACGAGACATTCTCGACAATCTGAAACCAGAATGTAAAATAAATATGAGTTTGAAATAAATGGGCTAAATCTTATTTTTTTAATTTCTTGACATATTTTCAATGTTTCAGTCGCAACGATAGACAGAATTATAAAGGGGACATCTGCATACACGTTCAGTTTGAAGTTTGATTATCTATTTTGAACTAATTGTCAATACCTACCTACTTGCATTATGAATCACTGTGTCTATAAAATGGATCATTAATTGCCAAATATGGTTGCGGTATTCAATACCTTTGGCAATAAGCAACCAATGTCTGATGTTCGCTAGATAGGCGAATCCTAACGCATCCATCAACAGCATTTCACAATGCCTGCCGTTGCAAAATGTACACAAGCCTTCTCCTACGACATATGGATATTCAAATTGACGACTTGGTATAACCAAAACGTGAAATAAATATATATTTTTTGAAGCGAAAACTTCTTTAGTGGCGTTGTACACTTTTTTGTATGGGTAAAAAATGTTAAACTCGCTTCAGGTTAAACACGTGGGCTGATCGCATCATGACACACAATAAAATTGGAAAGGTTGTTGACATTCTATATATTGGACGAAACATAGTAACATTTTATTTTACCGTATTATAATAATAAGTCTCTATCTAGGACGTCCACAGCAGCTTTATTGCGAAAATAATGCATTTTTTTACAATAGATGTCGCTAGGTGTGCTTAAATGTGATTGATGTAAGTTGATTTTTCTGAGAGATAAACTTTTTTAATGTAATATAAATTGTCATGTTTGTATACGATAGCGCAATAAATAAATATTGTATTCTGCCACATACATGATTGTACTTTTATACTGATAATTAAAGCAATTCGTGCAAAATTATTCCCTAACCATTCTAAAATATCAAAAATACACAACGTTAATATTCAAGTTTTCACTTCTGCCGGCACTCCCGGAGTGCAACCCGTCGTTCTTTTTCCTTTATTCAAAAACTATGTATAAAATAAAACAGAAGAAAAAGAATATCCCAATCTCACCAAAGCACTTAAACCCTCGACCGTATGCATTATATACTAAGTTATTTTTTCACTAAATAATTTCCATTGAGTACAATGTTTGCAAATAACACTCCCTCGCTACCTGGTACGAAACACATTATCTCTTATCTATTAGACAAGTCCGTCCGTCCGTCCGTCTGTCTGTGGTGCTGTTTCAGCGGCCAAACCGTAAGAGATAGATAAAGAGAATATTTAAGTTATAAGTTAAGAATAGTCTGATAAGACTACGAACCGGATTTGAGTAACCTAGCACTTCCGGTTTTCGAGAAATCACGAATTTCAAACGAAACCACACAAAATCTCCGAAGTTCTCAATTAATTAAATACATTTTTTTTTTCGGTTTTGGTGAACATTTGGTTCACTGGTTTGCTAGTTCTAAGTTAATTATAATAGGTTTTTTCCATAGATAACTAAATATAGTTAAGGAGTTTAAAATCGCAGACATCATTAATCTGAGATTAAACCATTTGTTTTTAATCGAAACTTCTTTTCGGACGGGGTGTAAATGGGGGAAAAAATCCTTTGTGACGACAAACATATATATGAGTGTTTCGTACTCCATTCCCCTATGCCTAATGCACCGCCTAATGTTAGGTTAAAGAAAAGAAGTTTCACTTCAGTCATGTGGTCTGTGCGCACATCTCTTATCTATTAGACAAGTCCGTCCGTCCGTCTGTCTGTGGTGCTGTTTCAGCGGCCAAACCGTAAGAGATTGATAAAGAGAATATTTAAGTTATAAGTTAAGAATAGTCTGAACTACAAACCGGATTTGAGTAACGTAGCACTTCCGGTTTTCGAGAAATCACGTGATTTCTATTTTGTAATTATCACAATTTTAATTAACTATTTAAAGGTACAATTTTTTTTTGACGTGACAACGTCTTAAATTAGGTTGCGGCTGGGAGTCACTTATGAAAAAGTGTAACGCTCGGTAACGTTACGATGAGTCTCTCGTGTTAAGTTTAAGTTTACATGTACAATGTTTTAGTAAACAAAATATATTTCTATAGTTAAAATTTGTGCAATTCTTATTTTCATTCAATTCCTTGTTCCTATTGTGCAATTTAATTATATTCATATCAATAAATATTCTACCGAGAAAAAGACGTTGTCACGTAAAATCTTCGCCCGTAAAACCGACTTTACAGGCAACCATTTTTTTTTTTAACTAAATAATTTCAAACGAAACCACACTAAATCTCCGAAGTTTTCAATTAATTAAATACATTTTTTAAATCAGGGTTTGGTGAACATTTAGTTCACTGGTTTGCTAGTTTATTTTAATTCCGTCACAACTCGTTTTGACTGCCGACACGGCGATGAATGCTCTGTTTTATCTAGCGTGGCTGTTTGAATGCGAGTATGTTGAGCAATGGATTAATCTTTTCCAGTTTATGTAACATCTGACATTCAAATTCGTTATTGTAATCGGTTGAGTCATATACGAAACATAGGCCATGTATTGACAACAATGACTTATATCTAGAATAAAAATATTACTGTTATGTAGATCTATATATTTTTAAGCATGTAACTGCTCGGATGTTTAAAAATTATAACTGTAATTGCAATTTAGTCTGCTAATTAATTAATTATTTTTTTAATTTGGTGAGCCGCCTGTCGTATGCCACCTATAACATAAAAAAAAAACTTCTTTAAATTTTTTAATACTTGTAAAGGTATTCATTTGACATTGTGGGTTATAGGATAACGAAGGATACGGGTTCCAGTCTCGTCTGCTGCCCGGTCCGCGTGGATTTTTTTTCTTTAGACTTAAAAATATTACGTTTGCGCTGAGACATCAATTAATGAAATGTAGTTTTAAGGTATTTTATTTAATAGAAGATTAACGTTGCGGTAACAACAGAATAAGCGAACAGGGCACTTAGACGGGCAATCGTTAAAGGAAAAATTAAAGGAGATTGCTCAGCTTCCATACAGGTTTGGCCTAAAGACCAATAATCATGAAAAATTGTTTCCTAGATTCGAAATTATATATAAATTACTGTAGAAACGAATATTATTGACGGACACCCCTGAGAACTTCTATAAACCATATACACTGAACGATTTTGAGGTTATGTTTGCAAATAGGCACATAGGTTTTAAATTAATAAAAAACAAATAAGTTATAATATAGTAAACTAGGGAAATCAAGCCAAGTACCGAAATTATGTATTAGATTCAAGTATATAGAGCATTTAGATTAACAGATAGTTGCCTGTTTTTAAAGTTAATGCACAAGAGTAACTTTTAAAATCAGGTATCATCTATGCATTTTTGGTTTTATTATGGTAGTACCCAAGGTACTACCATCAGTGTAAGCACTGATGATTGATGATTGTGAATGAGCCACAGATTAGAGAGAATTTTTAAACTGTCGTTAACCAAAGAAAGCTAAGAGATTTAGGTTATACAGCCATATCTTCAGTAGCTTCATTATTTTTGTTATGTTTGTATTATAACCATATTTTAGATTTTGAGTGTATCACACCTTATAAAGTGTTTATGCAGGTGTTTGGCGAAAAATGTATGGCAATAGACTTTATGATGTCGCCTAAAATCTATAATAATTGTCTTAGCACATTTGCATGTAGTGAAAATGATAATATAGTTGTGGATATTAATACCACAGTGTAATTAAAAAAAAATATTTATTTTATCGATCTTTACAAAATAGATTTGATTTTATGTTATATAAACAACTTCGATCAGTCTTTGGCTGAATTTTACTACACCCATAGCCATTAAAAACGATTCGTATATTTTTTAAACCGGTAAAATTAAAGTCCTTTTTAAAATTAATATATTATACATAGGTGTCCGTTAAAATCTAATGACTGTAAAATAGAGTATAAATTACGCCAAGAATTACCGTATATGTCAATATTTTTTGTGCATTTGGGCCAATTTGAGCAATTTCCGTTATACAATTATGTATAGATGACATCTATTCGAACGAGCTCATTTGTTCTACGTTAACAGATACT